GAATTCATGCAGAAGAACAATTTTGTCCTCTGATGTTAAAACACTCCTGTCATACATGTCAAAGCTCTCAGTGGGATACGTGTTAGGTAAAGATAATGCCTTTAATTTAAGAAGGTGGGAAGAAATAGCCTCAAACCCATCATAATTACAGTACATACTGGAACAGATTTAGAAAATGTAAGGGTGCGCTCTCGATTGAAGGAGTATGGTGCTTCGCAAAAAGTCTTTAGCAGTGGTCTAAGGCCCTATACCACACATTACTGCTGTTTTCTCCACAGTAATCTTTACTTAGAAATGGCATTCAAACTGCCTTTAATGAATATTTTGCACTCTAAATTGTTGTATGGGACAAACTAAAGCGTTTTTAAAGGATACAATACATAAATAAATAAACTTATAACTTAAATAAACTATATCGCAACCTTGACTTCCTGACTCATTGTAAAGTCATGCAATACGTTATGTTATTCTGAATAGGTTTAATTGTTTTATTTATGTATTAATTTGCTTAGAAGAGGCTTTTAACCAAATAGATTGACAAGTTAGGCAAAATACAGCAAGCATATACCGTAACTGATACAGTTCAGTGTTAAGGGCCTTGTTTAAGGGCCCTAGCTTGTGTTGTCACACTTGACCTTGTCAGTTATTTCCATTATGTATAAAAATTGTCTGAGGTTTTAATTTATTTTTCAAATGATTTCCTGATTTTGACCCTGGAACCTGTGTATGTAGGCTATGCTTGTAAACATCACCAATACTGAATTACATGTGCCATTTTAGAAAGGTTGAGAAATAATTGGGACTGAATCAGTACAAGCACCTCGATGTTGTTAAAGTCTGATGAAGGCAATGGTGGTCAGTGGTTTCCACTGATTGTGGAAAGTTGTGAATTCAAAATCACTGCCTTTCTGCCACCTTTGGGTTCTTGAACAGGGGCCTTGAACTTCATCTGCTCAGCTTAATTGTAAGTCACTTTATATTAAAGCATTTTCCCAGTGACACTAACCTATTATATCTGTATGTCTCATTTTCATTGGTAGTATACTCAGTCCAGTAAAGTCCCACTGAAGGAGGTGTAGACTCTTTACCAGTCAGTCCCACACAAGCTACTGGCTTCCAGCTACCTGCACAATCTTAAATCACACTTCCTGATATTATTGCATACACTACCAACATCCACCACCACATGATACTATGTGAATTAAGCCTAGTGTACCTAAGCTTAGTTTCACACTAATGAACAGACGACAGAAAATGAGAGCACTCTGGATATATTTCATGATTAATGGTCAAAGAAAAGTAGACTGCAAACAGTGCTCTCTAAAAATCTCAAGAGGTACTACAGCATCTTTCTACAATAAAAGTAAAGTGATTAACACATCTTAACACATCTTATGGCATTTAGATTTTAGTATTTTTATTAGAGAATATGAAGGTGGCCCACCTTGGCAAGCAGAGCAATATCAGTAAGTGTGGTCAATAAAAAATAAAAAAAAAAAGTGCAGTGAATTGCGTGCACACTAAGACCATGCTCACTGCTGGCTCTCTCTTTCAGAAATACAGATTAAATACAATAACAAGATAAAACATAAAACTCATCACGGGGAGTTCATATCTAGCAGCACATGGCAGCAATAAACAGAGCTGAATAAATGTCCCATGACACCCATGATTGCTTAATACTAAGTAGGTTACTCATTCTGGTATTAAAATGGAAGTAGTAAATGTTATGATTTATTGTAGTGATCCATTTTATTTACTGACATACTTTAAGTCAGTGAATATCATTATTTTCATGAGGTCCAAGATTGCAAATCACCAGGTACACACTGTACTGTATATTCAATCAATTAGACATAAATCAATGATAAAGACTTTCTACATAAACAAACACCCTAACAATCCTTTATTTTTAAGGTTATTCCCGGGGCTCGCATATATGTGCACAATCACAAGCAAGATCCCTGAGATGTTTTTGCGAATATGACTTATTATTACATTATAAAGCCATAATAGAAGCATTTAGGATAATTGCTCCAAACAAATACAGGCACCTGGCACAGAAACACATTGATGTTGTGGCTATATAATACAATAATGAGTTACATTTGCAAAAACTTTCCAACAGATGAACCAACAACTTTTCAACAAATAATAAATATCCTAAATAGGTTTACGTCGTTGCACCGGCATGACCCTGACAACCCTAGAAATGACTTTTCACATAAACTATTTGTATGTTTTTGATTATTCAGAAATCACTTTACAGATATGGAGTTACACGGAAAAAAACTTATACATATACAAATGGAGATGGTGAAGGCATTTATAGTTGTAGATTTGGATCTCTTGGAAAGAATGGCAGATACACACACTTTGTAAGAGTTGATATTACCATAGATTATGCAAAACGCAAAATGTATTTGGACTGAGAATAACGGGTATATGGAGGAAAGGTCTTTGAGTAGAGCTGTTAAAGTACTATCTAAAGGTCATTATATTTCTTTAGGCTGTCTCACAATATACTTCTAATGAAGTAAGTGAAAAAGCACATCATCTATGGTGGAAAATATATGTTTCTTTGAAATAAAAAAAAATAACTTTCCAGAAGTAATGGCCATCACTTACTTTTTTTTATTCAGTATGAAGATGATTATGATTTTAAATCATTGATTTGCATGAAATTGATTGGATGTACACCTCTATCTCCAGAGAGGTAAAATGGCACGTATAATTCTTGGAATAGCAAACATGATTTTTTTCTTAAATGCATTTTAATGGATTTTATATTAACTATTATGAGGTACGAATGTTACTTTTGAAGTCAGGACTCTGATGAGTGATTAAGAGGAGCATCCTTTCCATTTAGCCTGGGAAACTACAGAGAGCTTTCAGAGGTTAGCAGTGGCCATTTATAAAACCAAGCCTTTGACCTTATCTGTAAGTGCTGTGTGTGTGTATGTGTGTGTTTGTGTGTGTGTATGTGTGCGTGTCCAGGACTGATGGCCCTGCACCAAACCTCAGGTACCGATGGGGAAGCTGGGCCAACAAATCACTCTGTGTACCTGCAGTTTTTCAACAGTGATGCATCAGCCTTAGATCAGCCACTGCTGTGTTGGACATGCAGCCTCCTATCATACTAACAAATGTGGCTTAATATTCATATACACACAAACACACATATGCGAGCAATAAGGATGATGTCATCACCATAGCACTACCCACTGATAATGTCACCTTCACCTTTCTCAGTTAGAGGATGGAGGTTTGCAATAGTTCTGGCTTCCCACAGCCTTGACAGAGCTGCTGTCACAAAATGGACTTTTGGGAACATGGCGCACACATTCAGAGCTCTTTTTATGATCAGGATTAGGGTCATTACCTGCTGATGTGGTCTTTATATGCATCTATGTGTATCTATGTGTGCTTAAGGTCATTCACGTCCGTATTTTGCCACTCACTTGCTCTTAATGGGTTGCTAATGTGATGGTTGCAAAGGAACAGCTCATTAGGGTCTTAATGGTAAAGCCAGATGCTGAGGCCCGTGGGTAGATTATTGCACACAATAATCATTAATATGGTTGAACACCAAACGTCTCAAGAGAATCTCTAATTAAAAAAAAAAAAGGTCTGTTATCATTCACCCATGACATGAATGTTTCCTATATGTTTCCATATTCTATATTCAACCAGCTATTTCAGTTCTGCTGAAAAAGAGCATTTTCTTTATAGTGACATAGCAAATAGGAAGCAAGACAAGTGATGAAACAGTCTCAAAGATCTTTACAGCACAATGCTACATGGTGTGGTTTATATGCGGATGGTTAGCCAGAGGTGTGAGGAGCAGTGCTAGGAGCATCATAATCAGAGGCAGAATACATGAGAAGAAAGGAAAAGATACTGGGAGGGAAACTGACAGAGAGACGGAGGGAAGGCTAAAGAGGACCTGGGGTATTCGTCAGTCTGACTTAATATGAGGGACATCTGTAGGCTTGACGGTAAATGACATGGACGCTTGCCTCTTTGCATCACTAGCATTCACAAAATCAGAGCTCCTATTTGGATCCTTATCTGCAGTGCAGAAATAAAGACAACCATACCATGTTATTTACAAATCTAATTTAATGGCACTCTAATGACAGTCGGTCCCCCTTCTCTCTCTCTCTCTCTCTCTCTCTCTCTCTCTCTCTTTTTCTTTCCACTTTGCACTGCAGTGGTGGTGCTCTGCTGAAGTGATGGTTGCCAGGTTACTGCCTCTCAAAATGCACAATCATAAATAACAAGGAGTCTATTAAAAAAGGACATGAGCGAACTTTGGGATTCTGGTCATGCAAGAATGCAGGGGTAGGAGTTCTCTCACACTATGGGAACACACTGTGTGTGTGTGTGTGGTGTGTGTGTGTGTGTGTGTGTGAATAGTTTTATTCCTAGTTAAAATTAACATGAATTTTTATTTTCAAAAAATACCCGGCAGTTTTTTAACATAAAAATATTTGCACCAATAGTGCACAATAGATTTAATTCTTGATTCATTTCTGATTTAATTCTATACTCATCATCCTTTAGATCTAATGACAGTCTGAAACATTCAAGGCATCCTTTCATTACGTTTCCATGGGTATATTCTAGATATGGTATGGTATTTCTGTCTTTCATGAGTTTTGCCAGGGACATAGCTAAGTCCTGTTATTTAGAACGTGGACATTTTAAGCCTTGCTTTAATCTTTTTCCTACTTAGCACTGAAAAGTGTGACATTTTAGTTGGGAATCCAATTCTTAACAGCTGTAAATAAGCATAACATAGCTGTATAATACTTGAAAATACTGTATATCCAAAAGTTGTTCTTCTTCTTTCAGCTGCTCCCATTGACCCGCATATTTCATTTGGCACAGTTTTTACGCCGGATGCCCTTCCCGACGCAACCCTCCCCAATTTTATCCAGGCTTGGGACCGGCACTGGGAGTGCACTGTCATGTGCAACCCCAGTGGCTGAGGTTGGGTCCCTGGCCGGGAATCGAACCCGTGCCACAGCAGTGAGAGCGCTGAGGCCTTCCCACTAGTCCTCCAGGTACCTAATGTATATCCAAAAGTGATTGTCCTAACAAAAAAAAAAAAAAGGATTCACATCAGTGGTCACTAGCCTGTCCATTCTGACCTACCAGTTGATCGCTGAGGCATTTTTAGTAGATTACAACCATCCATGTTAATGATCGCACACTTTTTAGAATAAAAAAATATGCAATGGTAAAATATTTGCTGGTTGGCTAGATTAACTGCTACATATTTACTTGGTGTGCAACTGTATGGGCGGGCAGTAGCCCAAGAAAAAACATTAATTCTGGCCAATTACAGTTGTGAAATTAGGTTACCTTTGCAGATAACTGTTTCCAGCTGCATAACCTGCTGTTAAGCTATGTACCTAGCTAGCATAAACTCCATATTTGTACTGTCAGTGAGCTGTCAATGATCTTTGTTCAGGAAACCATGGCTGTGCAATGAAAGAAGGAGAAAATTTCCATGCTTAGTGGGAAAACGAGTCTGCTTTTACAGTGTTGAATGAAAAGACTGTCTGCTTGATATGTCACCAGGCTTTAGCGTTGTTGAAAAGGGGGAATTTGGAGCTCCATCACACCACTTACCATCTGAAATTCAAGGACTCATTCCCACCCAAGAGCGAAATACAAGAGAAAAGAATTCAAGAGTTAAAAATTGGTTTTAAAAGCCCAGCAATCATTTTTCACAAAACCTACTGAAAGGGAAAGAGCTAAAACTGCTACCTAGGCTATATTACGTGTTTGTCGTCTCCTGGCCAAGCAATGTCTGTCACCATTGACACATTATTCACAGACTTTAAAAACAAAGAAGACATAAAAATGGCAATTAATAGTGTGCCACCGTAACTGTGTAACTGTGCGTGTTGTAGTCTCATGTACTAATGGTATTAACATGTGTCTGTTCCTGTTGTAGCCTATTGATATTTGAACAGTATTATTGTGTCACTGTGATTATTGAATCCTGTACTGGTAAATGAACTGCTTATTTAGTATAAATATCACATAATCCAGTACATTTGCTCATTTGCCTGATGCTTTAAGAAAAAAAAAAAAAAGCATGACTTACAACTTACGCAGGATACAACTGAGAGTTAAGGGTCTTGTTCAAGAACCCAACAATAGCAATTTGGCATTGCTAGGATTTGACCACACACCCTTCAGACCACACAACTTTCAGATCCCTAACTTAAAGCCTGAGCCAGCACAACTAGCTTACTGAGCTTGCATTGATTCAACTACTTCTACTACTGAATTAACTTGCACTAAAAGACTGCACTGAATCAGTGGAAGGTAAATGAGCAAGCTGTAGTTGCTCAGGGGTTAACGCTTTGAGATAGAGCTCAGAGGGCTTTGTGGTCAAATTCTGGCAATGGCAAAGTGCCATGGTAGGGTTGTTGAGCAAAACCCTTGACCTTCATCTCAGTTGTATTCTGCATCAATTTTAAATCACTTTTTTAAAAAGCATCACCAAAATGTACAAGCAAATGTACAAGCATTATGTCATTTTCTACTATGTAAGACATTACAATACTTCACTGTAAATATGTTTTACAGCAATTAGTTTACAGCAGTTAAACAAATTAGAAGCAATAAAACAATTAAAACAACGGAAGCCCTCTATTATATAAAATCTTTGAGACGGTTGCACACCTTACTATGCTGTGGTATTTCTGTCAGTTCTTGTTCTTGTTTGAGGTATTTGTTTATCCATGCAGTAAGTCTTAACATTATCAGCATTGAGAATAATCCTTTTCAAACAATATATAATACTATAGATTAATAGAGAGACATCTTTACAATGTTTAGGTTATGACTTTGAATTAAGCAAAGTACTATATACTAATAGATTTGTTTTGATCAATAGGTTTCTGTGTGTGTGTGTGTGTGTGTGTGTGTGTGTGTGTGTGTGAAGGAAATACTAATTGCAGGTAAAACAAGCAATCACGGTAATGCTTTCACCTCCAGCATGCCCAAAACATACCTGTGGTCCAAGCATTCATAAAAACAGGGTGTTAAAACTAATGAAATGGACTTAATTGGCATTTAAAATGCAAAAGTGCATTTCCAAACATTACGTATGCTATTTTTAACACATCAGGGGTTGACTAAGGTTAAATGAGAAACATTACATTTTGAATTTTAGTATGCACACCTTAATTACAACTACCAAAACTGCATTCAAATAATTCTGAGACTCCACACAAGTGTTCAGGGACTGACATGAAATGAGTAGTTGCTTAGAGACATGTTATTATAACTGACACACACAAGAACAATCCAAGTGAACATATCTGAATCCTTTTCTTGGTGGTTTATAGAGGAACCAGCTAAGGCATTATGTTAAACATGAGCAACATTTTACGAGAGGTGAGATGATATCATATATCAAATGATAAAAAATCATTATTCTATGGCATTGCTGTAAAGAATCTTTTATCATTTTTATTTGTAAGAGTATAATGTTGATTTGATCATTTATCAAAATAATACCTTCACACTTGAATTGTTTTTTTGAGTCTGAACAACCTTGTAATCAAAATCAAACTAGTGAAGGAACGCTAAACTAGCAAGCGAGACCTAATGAGAAAATTCTTTAATTTTGTTTTGAATCTATGGAGTTTTGAACAATTCTGACTGTCTTCGCTTGTATCATGGTATATAATTCTTCCTGAGTGGTGTAGCAAGCTTGGGACAGATGGATGTCAGTTAAGCATGGTCATCAGAATATTAGGCAACATCTGGAAAGTTCTTAGATCACTACCCTGCTGGGATAATTCAACTAATTAATGCAGTGGAAAAAATCAGACATAACTGTATTCATTTACTGCATTTACCACTAAAATATCATCACACCTCACCTTTATTAATTACAACTATCCAGATTTTTTTGAAATGCCAGTCAGAAATATACAGCATTTTTTTTTTCAGTTTCAAATTTCAAGCATCTCTAAATATGTAATAGTAAATCCTCTTATATTCAGAATTATATCAAATGATTTAAAATGCCTAAACCAACAAAGTTCAAACTTTTCAAACACTTTATCCATTCCTGAGAAGATATTTATTCAGTAACTGCTTTATCCTTCTCAGGGTTGTGGTGTATCCCAAGCCGATTTCAAGGAGGCACAAGGTGGAAATACACCCTGGATGGAATGCCAGTCCATCACAGAATACCATGAACACACACATTCACACACTTATTCACACCTTAAGGCAATTTAGACTAGCCAATCTGCCTAGTGGCATGTTTTGGGACATTGAGAGGAAACCAGAGAAGCCACAAGGGGACCATGGAGTTGTGAGGCACCACCATGCTGGCAAAAATATGTACATTTAAAATTTTTTAGTTATCTCAATAGTTATTCATAAATTGATGACATATGTATAGTAAGTAGCTAAGGATGCCCTAAAAATTGTGCCCAATGTTACTGGGATAGGCTCCGGATCCATCATGACCCTGACCAGGATAAAGCACTTACTGAAGATGTACAACCCCTGGCAAAAATTATGGAATCACCACACTTAGAGGATGTTCACCCAGCTTTTTTACTTTATAGCAAACAAATAAATCATAGATATGACACAAAAAGGTTTTGCTCAATAGCTTAACATTCTGGCTTTGTGAAACATACATCAAAAAAATTCACTGACTTTTTTTTTATTAACGGCATGTCTTTTTCCAAATC